AAATTAGTTCAGGTAAAGCAGAGAGCACACAGTAAATGCTCCTGGAGTATTAAGGACAAGCTAAACTAGTTCTTCTTGATGCTGTAATTCTAGGCTCTGGGATTCCTGAAATTCTTGACCCAGCTTTGAGTCAAGAAGCCACTGAACACTGACCTCGAGATGAAAGGCCTTGTATAGCAGCAGATGCGCCAGGGAAGAGCAAAACTACTCACCAACACTCAAATTTTATGTTTAATTAGCCAGCTGTAAAAACAGGCAGAGCCTCTTATTTATAACAGATCCACCCAGCCTCCACTTCTCCAAAGATTCAGAAGAGAAGGGTCTGCTCAAAAGCCTCCTCCTCTCCTTCACACTCTCATGCTTTTCCAGTCCTTTCCAACACTTACATTTCTTTCTTGGCCTCCTTCCTTCACCCAGTTACCTTCCACTCTCCAAAGGCCCATACTGAAAAACAATCAAATAGAACTGAACTTTGCCAAATGACATCCATACAAAGACCAAATGCATAAAGGAGACAGACAGAGACAGGAGAACACAATGGAATTACAGGCTAGTAATACAACAGACTGGAAAGCGGATCTCACCTCAAAACAGGAAGCAAAAAGCATGAATGACAAAGAAGAGGACCTGCCCCTGGTCAGGACTGCCAAATCTTAGTATTTGGTGTTTTCCTAGAAGGAGGCATTAACACTCGACTTAAATCACAAAATGTTTGTTTATAAGGTTGGGGGGCCTGCAATCTTCCAAAAGAGATTCGGTTAGCTCTTTTTAAGGGAAACAAGATCTTCCCTTTTCTTCCTACTTCTCAGAAATTCCAGTCTTATAACTGTCCGAAGTGACTCAAAAGCACACAAAAGTAGCTCACTGATTTGATTCCCCTGGGAGTTTATGTTCATGCACCCATTACCGCATGTCTCACTGATGGAAGCATCAGATCCAGACTCAGAAGACCAAGATTCAAATCCCAGCTCTTCCATGTCTTAACTACATGACCTCATTCATGTGGGCCACTTCACCTCAGTGAGGTTGTTTGTCTCAAATCTATAAAACAGCGGGGTACCTAACACATAACATGCACTCCATATGTGTAAGGTAAAACCAGTATATTAAACATTAAAAATCAATTACCCATCCAGACTTTCTTTCCTATCCTTCTTAGAAGTCTCTAAATTGGTTGCCAACTCAGAAAGCCAGACTAATTCCAGAAATTGGCACTCAAACTGATTTCAGCAGCACTGCAAATAAGCACACTTGAAAGAGTAGCATCCTCAGGGAAAAAAAAAAAAAGGAAACCCATTAGCTTGTGATTTTCAAAAGGGTCTTTAAATGAAAAGTAAAAAGGAGGGAAAACCAAGTTTCCTGAGATATACAATACTGTGCTATACTTAAAATATCTACTCATGTAATAGTATACATTGGGATTTTTGTGTCAAAATTTAACTTCCAATAAAAAGCACTCCTTGGACACATATCCATACTACTCTTTTAGTGACTTTGACCAGTCTCTTGACTCTAAAAACTGTCCACATGCTAACTGCTTCCACATGTGCATCTCTGGTCCAGGCCTGTCTCCAGACTTCCCTATCTAACTGTCCACGAAACTGTCATTTGGATTTCTATAGGCATTTCGAGAAAAAAAAAATGAGCACCAACCCTGTTCCTCCTGTAGTCTTCCCCATTTCAATTAATGACAATTCCATTCTTTCAGTTACTCACACCAAAGACCGTGGAGTCGCCCGTGACTCATTTCCTACACACATTCCACATCCACAAACCCTACTGGCTGTACTTTAAAATATACCCAGGGCCCAAGCACTCCTGACCACCTCCATCACTACCACCGTGTCCATCCTTCACCTGAAACATGGCAATAGCCTCTGAAAGTGTCTCCCTGCTTCTAGTCTTTATTCTTTCTCCATATGGCAACCAGAGTGAGCCTGCTAAAAGGCAGGATGGATCATGTCCACTTCACTGCTCAAAACCCTCCAAAGGCCCTGGCTGGTGTAGCTCAGTGGATTGAGCACAGGCCTGTGAACCAAACAACCGAAGTTCAATTCCCAGTCAGGGCACATGCCTGGGTTGCAGGCCAGTTACTAGCAGGTGACACACGAGAGGTAACCATACATTGATATTTCTCTCCCTCTCTGCTTCCCTTCCCCTCTAAAGATAAATAAAATCTACAAGAAAAAAAGAAAAAACCTCCAAAGGCCCCAACTATTTGAGTGAAAACCAACATCCTTACTATGGCCCGCAAGACCCTCTACCACTTGTCCATCTCTCCCCTCACCCTCAAAACCTCTCTGACCTCATCCTCTGCATCCCCCCTCACTCACATCCCTCCAGCCAGGAAACCCTGGCTGGTCCACAAACTCAGCAGGGGTGATACCCCTTTAGAGCTATTGAACTTGGTGTTCCCTCTGCTTGGAGCACTACGTCCCCATTCAGCCACTGGCTCCTTCCCTCACCTCCTTCAGATCTTTACCCAACAGGTACCTTCTCAGGAAGGCTTCTCTGAGGACCCAAACTCAAAATTGCAACCCCAGCCACCATTCCATACCCTGCTTCCCTGCTTTATTGTAATATCATATGCATTTTACTTGGTTGTTTTGTTTACTGTGCCTTTCTCCACTAAAATATCCACAAGAGCAGGGATTCTTGCCTTTCTTGTGTTCTATATATTCCTAGAGTTTAGAACAGCACCGTCCAGTACAATTTTTAATTATTTTTCATTTATTGACTTTAGAGAGAGAGAGACAGAGGGGAGAGGAAGAGAAGCATCAATTTGTTGTCCCATTTATTTATGCATTTATTAATTGATTCTTGTATGTGTCTTGACTGGGGATCGAATCTGCAACCTTGGCGTTCAGGACAGTGCTCTCACCAGCTGAGCTACCCAGCCAGGTCCAAGATAATTTTTAATTTTCTAGGAAACACATTTTTAAAACTACAAAGATGCAGGTGAATTTAATTTCAATTATACTGTTTAACTCCCCAAAAGTATCATATACAGCATATATTTATACTGTATTAAAATTATATAATATAAAGACACTGATGACAGTATTTTTCCTTTTTTTCATACTAACGCTTCAAAATCAGGTATATACAGTATTTTTACTAACGGTATACCTCCAGTGCTAGACAGCTCCATGTGGCAGCTAGCGGCCGGCGCACCAGACAGCTCAACTCTAGAACAACGCCTGGCCCAGAGCAGGCACTTATAAATACTCGTTGAATGAAAGATCGTTTTCCCAGGAAGAGGCAGCTACGGTGGAGTACAGATTTCTGAACTTTAGTTGCACTCTATACTCACAATTTTTGCTCTGATTTATTTACTTTTTCTTCCTTAAAATTACGTATATTTTATACTAGAAAGACACTTTAAAATAAAACTTTATATTGCTTCTGTGAATGAAAAAGTATGGGTCTAAAGATAAAAGGCCTGGGCTTCAGTCCCTGCTAAATCATTCACTAGCTCTGGACTCTAAAGCAAGGACTTTGCTAAGCCTCAGTATCTTCATCAGTAGAACAGGAACATTACTGAGCTTTACAGCACCGTGGTAAAAATTAAGAGATGTTGATTTAAGCCCTTTGTAAATGGGAAAGTAGTCATTAAGTAAAAGAGACTAAGCCCATTTAAGCCTTTTTCTCAGGCCTATCATCTTCATATGGCGAGTCTGACAAAAGAACTAGGACTTGGGTTCAAATCCCTTGTCCTCCACTTACAGCATTGTGACCTTCAGAAATATGTTTATTCACCTATCTTACCAGATGCCCACAACTAGTAAACAAGAAATAGCAATAAATTGTTAAAAATTTAAGTCATCTCTCCTAGTTCTGCTCGTTCATTGTGAAATGACAATAACACCTGCCCAAACTAACTCACAGAACAGCTACAAAAACCTATTTTAAATGTGTAGCAAATACCTCAAACACTTGATCTCATAATACTAATTAGCAAAGTACTTTTTTCCCCCTACTTGTAACATTTTTGGTTCAAAATGATGCCCATTCCTGGGAATGTCCAGTTTGAACGTTCACTCTGGTTATACAGCATCCATGAAATTCATTTCGCTGCTGCAAATTTTAGTAAACACAAAGGAAAAAAGGATAAATAGCTTTTCACAAACGCATGTAATCTCAAAATACTGATCCAGGTCATAGTTGTAAGTAGCACAACAGAGACCTCGCAGCTGCCCTACCTAGTTCCAGTGTATTAAGATAAGCAGTCACATGGTAAGGGAACCTGAATAATTTAGACTGAAGGAGAAAAAGTCATAACACAGTCAAAGTAGACATTGTCCAAGGTTTCAGCAGTCACTGTAATGCTCAACAACTTAGGCTAAAAGCCATTTTATGGCCAGAGCAAAGTGCGCACACTTTTTTCTGCCTAGAAGTTGATGTGACCTGGGAAAAATCTCAAGGAAAGATGATCTGAAGGGCTGAGTCCCCTAGAAGTGGAAACCCTAGCCAAGGTGTGACGAAAGCAAGAAGGGATCCCGTGATCCCTCCTAAAGTTTTAAAAACTGAATGGGACCGAAATCAAACTCTTGGGTAACAATCATTTCCACAGAAGAAAAAAGGAAGAGACTCAGCTGGGATTCAGGTATCATCTTGAGTTTTCCTTCTTTCCCTCCAAGGCAAATGGCCATTCTCAGGTATCCCCTCCAGTTCAGTCCCAAATTGCCCCTTCCTCCTGTCCCGACCCTTCCACAGAGGTCACCCTTCTCCATCCCTGTCCCCTAAGCTCCAATTCCCCTTCCTGAAGGACCTGCAGTCCGCCACCGCATCCCTGGCTGCCTCCGTGCCCACCTCGGAGCAGCCTGGGTGCACAGTCTGCGGCGCGCCCACCCCGCCTGGGCGGGAGCCGGGACACCCCTCCTCGGAGGCCGGAACCGCCGCGCCAGGCCCCTCCCACAGGAAGCCACAGCCCCCCGGGTTCCCGACCGCACCGCCCACGGCCCACTGCAAGCCGCAGCCACCCCAGGCCTGCCCCGCACCTCCGCTGTCCGCCGAGCTCACCGTGCTGACTCTCGCTACCGTAGCAGGGACCACAGAAGCGGAGCCTAACTCCTCTCCCACTTCCGCCTTCCACCGCTTGCACTCGGGCCGGGTCACGTGGCTGCGTACGGCCAACTGACCCGGAAGAGGCTGGCTGCACCCGCAGGTGTGAGCAACCCAGCCCTGGCCTGGGGTCCTTTGCCCGAAGAAGGCTCTCTTATCCTTTGTATGTTTTAAAGTGTAAGCGTTTTCCATTCGCCGGACGACTCCCAATCAATCAAATAAATTGCGGACTCACTAGTGCCAGGTCCTGGCATCGACCCTGTGGGCGGGTCTATTATTGGCCCCACTTTATAGGTGAGAAGAAGCCATTCAATCAATTCATCAAATATTGAGCTCCTTAGTAAGGTTGCCAGATAAAATACAGGACATCCGGTTAAATTCTAATGTGTATGTCCCAAATAGTGCCTGGGACATACATATCTACACTAAAAAAAAAAAAAAGTTTATCTGAAAGTCAAATTTAATTGGACACCTTGTATTTTTATTTGCTAAATCGGGCAACAGCATGCCTGCTATGAGTCAGGCAGTGTTCTAGGCTCTAGAAACTCAAAACTCCCAGCTTTTGTGGAGCATCTGGTCATGTAACAAAAAGCGAAAGCAGAAAAGCTTCAAAACCCTTGCCTGAGTGGATAAAATGCCCCGCACCAAAGTAACTCCCACTCTCTCAATCTACAGAGTAGGTAGAGATTTATGATTTAAAATCAAGATTCTTTACTGATGGTCTGGACCTTCAGCTTTGGCAAGTTGAATAAAGGCCCAGTTTTACACCTTTAATCACCATTGATTAAAAGTACTATGAATTAGCCATGAGTACTGTGCACTTGTTATTTTGGAGTCTTTAGGTTTGGAAGGAGTAAAAGCTAAAGTACATATTGTGGTTTATAAAGCCATTTCCTCATAGCTACCCCTTTATTTCTCTCATCTGGTCTCCAGTTAATCCTCCCCTCGGTACTTTGCTTCAGCCACTCTGGCCGCAGGGTCTTTGGACTTGCTTTTCCCTCTGTATGGAAAGTTCACCCTCTCGTCAATTTCAGATGTTTGGTCAATTGTCATTCTCAGTGAAGCTTTTCCTGATCGCCCTATTTACAATCTCAGCTCATCTCTTCCTTATTCTATAGCTCCCTTCCTGCATATCCCAGTTCCTAAAGCAGTACCTGGCTCATAGGAGGCCTCTTTAAGTAATTCGCTGAACAAGTATATTGCATCAACATTTATTGAGCACTGAACTCATTGTTGTATGTCCTACAGATGAGACTTTTTTAAAAGACACATAAAAATCTGAAATATGTCATCATAAAAATGCCCCCCAAAAGTTAAAAAGTAAATTGACATGTTTAAGGAAAAGACCCCTAAATCTAGTGCCTGACTTCCAACCTACTTAAAGAAGCTAACAATTAACTACAATGTAAAGCTGAAATAATACAGTAACTACTCATTGAGTGACAGAAGTGAAATGTCTTTTTTTAAAGATTTTATTTATTAATTTTAGAGAGAGGGACAGAAACATCAATGTGTGGTTGCCTCTCATGTGCCCCGCACTGGGGACCTGACCCACAACCCAGGCACGTGCCCTGACTGGGAATCAAACCAGTGATCTCTTGGATCAGAGGCTGGCACTCAATCCACTGAGCCACAGCAGCCAGAGCTGAAATGTCCAAAGTATAGTGAGAAAGAAGAGTCCAGATCTGGCCTTAGGGAAAAATCTCATTTGGATAATCAGGGACCAGTTTACAGAGGAGAAATTGAGCCAGTTTTGAAGACTAAGCAGTGATTGGCAGGCAGAATTTTCAGGCCAAGCAATAAACAAGGGCAAAGGCAGTGACAAGAAAGTCTGGACACTCCCAGGAAAGTCCAGGGGAATTCTAGGGATACTTACTGATTTCACATAATGTTTCTTCCGCATCAACTTTTTCTCTCCCCTAACCCCACTGTTAAGCATAGAATCTCATAGGCTCTACATTTTCCAGTCCTGGAAATGAACTCAAATCTTCACTAGTGCCTTCTCCTTTGTAAAGGGCCTCACATGTAAAAGGCGACATTATCTCCAAATGAGTTATACATTGTCCTCCTATATGTATTTGAAAATATAATTAATGAAAACTGTTTAAAGTGATCACAATTTTCCTACTAGTGTTTGAGATTACTTTGCTTTTAAAGCCCTCTGGACTTCTCCCTCTCTCCCCCTCCCCTCAAAAAAAAAAAAAAAACTCATCATTATTCAAATCCACGCTACTATTAAAAAAAAAAAAAAAAAAAAAAAAACCAGGAACTTCAAAAAGTGGTATGTCAGGGATCACTTCACCACTGAGAGCCCCAGTCCCCAGTCCCCTGTGACCACAGCACTACCCCCAGTTCCCTGAACATCTCCTTGGACTTTCATACCTTGGTGCCTTTGCCCTACTCATCCTTCGAGACCTGGCTCCAAAGTCATAAACTCTAAAGGTGCCCCTAGTTGCTACACAAAATATCACTTTGTTCATAGCTGTTACATCACCCATAGCAGTTCATAGCTGTTGGGTAATGTAATAAATTAGCTATCCATACATATTTATTAAATAAATGAAAGTCCTTCTAAGGCTTTAGGAGGGGTAGAGACATAGGGAAGCAGAAAACAGATGAAAACACTATAAAAATGATAAAAGCTACAGTGTCAAGAATCCTTTTACAGGCATACCTCATTTTATGGCACTTTGCTTCATTGCACTGTAGAGTGTTGCATTGTCTACAAATTGAAGGCAAGACTTCCCCAAGAGCAAAAAGACTACAATACTTTATTATGACACTCTCCTTATTCCAGTGCTCTGGAGCTGACCAGCAATATCTCCAACATATGTCTGCATATTAATAAGTATTCCTAGGGTTTACCAGAATGATTCAAAGCCTGATCATTCTTTCACTGTTTCCCTAATCAGTGGTTCTCAAGTATTCCTCCAGATCAGCAGCATCAGCATCACCTGGAACTTCTTATTAGAAATGCAAAATCTCAGCCCCTGCCCAGACTTACTGAATCAAAAACTGAGGACGAGACCCATCGATCTGTGTTTGCAAGCTCTCCAGGTGATGCTGAGGCACAGTTAAGTTTGAGAATCACCGACCTTCTCCATCTTAGGGTTTACAGAATGATCACTGCCAATTTCAATAAACTTTTTTTATTATAGAGTCAAGTTCTGTCCTTCCTTTTTAGGCAACAGGAACAATCAATTGAAGAAGGAGAAATTAGAGATAGGAATACTAGTATTGAGTGGATTACATTTTCTAGGCATGAGATAAGAATTGATTAGGGTAACAGGGAGGAATGTATAGGGGACCCAGGCACCACAAGTGACATCAATAAGGTTTAGCAAGAGGAATACAGGTTGAAAGTGAGGGTGGAAATGAAGATAACTCAGAGATTCTTATCTTGAATGCCTTCATTGGCATTAGTAAAATGCCAACAAGTAAAAATTGAAACTCTAATGAATGAAGATAGTTTAAGCTGGGGTGAGAGAGATCATTACCTCAGTTGTAACCTACCTCCTGAGTGAAAATGCCAAAAAGCTTTTAGAAGGATGTGCCCAGAAGGCTAGCAGGGGAAATAAAAAAGGATTAAACCTGAAGATTTGGCAGACATTCCTATAATGGGATAGATGAAGTCTTGAGAATAGATAATATTGTTGAAGAAAAGAACTCAGAGCAACAAAGGGACCAAGACCATTCTGTGGAGATTGTCCTGTTTGCAAGGCAGAAAGAGAGTCCAGTTAGGGAGGGCGAGAAGCCATTAAGGAGGCAGGGAGATCAGGACTGTGAAGTATCACCGAAGTCAGGGGAGGAAAAAGGACAGTCCAGAAAAAGGAGATGGGCAGCAATGTCAAATTGTGCAGAGGAAACAAGAAGGCAAAAAATAAAAAAACAAAAAATTGGATACGATGAACTCAAAAATTAGAAACAGCCTTCAGGCCCTGGCTGGGCAGCTCAGTCGGTCAGAGCCTGGTCCCAATATGCCAAGGCTGTGGATTCAATCTCTGCTCAGGGAACATACAATTATCAACTAATGAATGCATAAATAAGTGGAACAACAAATATATGTTGTTTCTCTCTCCCCCCACCCCAATCAATTTAGAAAGAAAAATAGCCTTTGATTGGGCTATTTCAGGCAGGGCAGGTAGGGCAGGAACCAGTGAGTGGCTCTGGAGGTCGCAGAGGCTAAATGATAAGAATAGTTGAGATAGATGACTAGGGAAGGAAAAAGGATTTGGGCAATTGCTGAAGGGCAACTGAAGGATTTTTGTTAAGTAGAATGCACAAATTATAATCAAGGGTTAAGATCGACCAAGAAGGGGTATAATAACACAACATCACTGAAGACTGGTGACTGACAATTCAAGTAACATTCCGCTAAAAGTCACCAGCATGATTTTGTATTAGGTCACATCTCGAAAGGATGAATCCCAGATTTGATTAAAAATTCGGCAATCATCTCATACCCCTTCAGATCAATTCAGCAATGACCGAATGTGCCTTGCTTAGGGGAGTGAGGCGGAGATATTAAAGTACCTAAGACACAGACCCCTGGCCTCAAAATATACAAAATGAAGTGGGGATATGTAAGCAGTGGTCATTATAGCGCAGCGATTTTCAACAGGTGTGCTACAAGAATTTTTAAAACATGACATACCTGACTATTTAGTCTGGGGCACTGACCTTTTTTCCCTTATATTGTCAGATTTAAAAAAATGACAATAGCTAACTATAGTTGTCTGTCGTGAACGAATCAAAAATATAAATTTTTTGTAAGATCTGCAAAAAATATATTTTTTTGGTGTGCCACAGAATTTTAGTAGTTTGTACCATGAGATGAAAAAGATTGAAAATCGCTGCAATAGCATAATGGTTAAGATATTGGCTCCAAGTCGGTTTGTTTGGGTGTTAATCTTACAACCACTTACCAGCCGTGATAGTACAGCTAGCTTACTAACTGTATTAGTTGTCCTGAGTAGCTAGCTATCCCTTGACTGTAAAATATTACCTGATAGGCTTGTGATCATTAAACTAGGTTATGTGTATT